CATGGCCCAAAATGTCTTCCAGAACAGAATTTTAAAAATGACAACACCCTTGCAAGTAAATTGAGTGATTTTAATTTTTTCCGGAAATGTTAAAGTTGAATTACTAACCACATTTAAATCTTTCCATCCCGTGTTTAATACAAACAATTATCTAGTAACGCATCCAACTTTTTCTTCAGGATTTGTGATCCCTAATGTGCGTTTCTTGTTTTTCAAGTAATGTTCTACAAAACTGAATCAATTTCGCGAGTTTCCTGTCATCAACTCTGTATTATTGATTATTAAAACCTGGATCATTGGATAATGCAATTCAAGAGTTTTCATTGGCTTAGCCATCATGGTATATGAGCAATTACACCATGATCTACAAAGATGTTAAACTTACGCGTAATTTTTTGGGGCGTTTTTAATTTTATTTTATTTCAGTTGTCTCTATTTGGGGGCGTTTTAGATAAAACAATTACTTCACTCACGTATGTTGGATATGAGGTGGTTATAGCGAACTCGGTACTACGCGCCTCGTTGGCTATCTACCATCTCGTATCCAACGCGCGCTCGTGGAATAATTGTTAACTTAACACACAATGGTTCTTTTTCTTAGATGTGGTCACGTAAATTTCTATATGAAGTAATTTTCGAGCTCTGACAACGTCTTGAAATCAGGGTGGTTTTTTTTAGTCTTCGATAACTCTGCGTGGTTTCTTATACTCCGAAACTAGACACAGCATTGAGGGCCGACTTAGTACGGTATGTCGCGACACGCGACTTTTGGAGCGCGCCCGTGCCCTACCCAGATTTCATCCTATAAAAGCCATACAGTGCGCACTATCGACTGGCCCTGCGACTGTCGTAAGGTTCTAAAACATGTCTCAAACATGATCTTACGACATTAATCTAGAGATTGACAACTGACGAGGTGGCCGAGTGGTTAAGGCGTTGGACTGCTAATCCAATGTGCTCTGCACGCGTGGGTTCGAATCCCATCCTCGTCGTCAGTATTATTTAGATTTTTAGCTAGAGCACTGCTTACGCAAAACGTTTTGCCGAAATGGTAAGTATTCGGTTTTCATTGCTATTGTAGCCCAAAATGTCTTCTAGAGCAGAATTTTAAAACTGACAACACCATTGCAAGTAAATTGAGGTCACGTAGACTGTTGTCCCGGCCTTTGATTTTAATTTTAATTTTTCCCAGAAATTTTAAAGTTGAATTTCTTACCACTTTCAAACTGAAATATTTCCATCCCTTTTTTAATGCAGACAATTATCTAGTAACGCATCCAACTTTTTTTCAGGAATTTGTGATCCCTAATGTGCTTTTCTTGTTTTTCAAGTAATGTTCTACAAAAATTGAACCAGTTTCACGAGTTTCCTGTTATCAACTGAGGCTTTACGACTCTTTAAATCATTAGTATATGAGCCATTGCACCATGTTCTACAAATATGTTAAGCGTTCGCGTAATTTTTTTGGGACGTTTTTATTTTTCTTTTATTTCAGTTTTTTCTATTTGGGGGCGCTTTTTATAAAACAATTATTTTACTCGCGCATGTAGAATATGAGATGGTTATAGCTAACTCGGTACTACGCTCCTCGTTGGTTATCTACCATCTCATATCCAACGCACGCTCGTGGAATAATTGTTAATTAACATACAATGTTTTTTTTTTCTTAAATGTGGTGACGTAAATTTCTATGAAGTAAATTTCGAGAGATAACCTACTGTCTGCAAGTTATTTTTAATCTGTTGATTTATCTGTGTGATTTCTGATACTCTGAGAATTGACACAGAGTTGACACAGAATTAAAGGCCGAATTAGTACGGTTTGTCGTGACACGCGACGTTTGGAGCGCGCCCGCCCCCTGCCCAGATTTCATCATATAAAGCTATACAATCACTGTCGACTGACCCTGCGATTGTCGTAAGGTTCCAAAACATGCCTCAAACATGATTTTATGACATTAATCTGGAAATTG